CTTGTCATCACGCGTGACCTAGCGCCATACCTCAGGCTGATCCAATGATCTGACATGGACCCAGTTATCGACCATGTATTACTCTGTGCGGCGGCTATCCACCAACTAACTTAAATACTTACAACAAATAAACGGTAGGTGTTTGAATGAAGCTGTTTCTTATGCGAATACAAATCGATTTATCAAGTTTTATCTGCTAGGGTTATGAAAGTGTTTGGCTGAGTAGATCGCATCTCAATTTGACCTTTCCAGGCTCTGAAGAAGGCGAAACCGCCGAAACGTCAGCAATTGTGTTCTAATAAATTCTATATTAACAACCTCGTGTCTGCTTATTGATGAAAAACATTGAATTATCAATTAATGCCGAGGTTAACAGAAAGTCGGTCATGGGAAAATAGTTACTATTCTTTCATCATATCGTAGGTCTGTGGTAACCATATTCCTGGCCTATAGCATCGCTTTGCGATCTTGCAGCATGTAAGCGTTTTCACTTTGTTGAGAAAGATTTTGGTTGTCGTAAACATCCTTTGTGATCCACACTCTTTTTATACAATCCGAACCCTTTGTGTGTTGCATCTGTTCCAAACCATCACGGGTACGGTAACACAAAGGAGCTTGAAGCTGTCCGGCAAACCGTCCTCAGTCATCTGATCACAGGGGAGCTGGAGACGCAAGCTGATGGGTGTTTTCGGTAAGGGTTCTGGACTGGTGCCAAAGCATCGCCTCCTCCAGAAGATATTTAAAGAGCCCTGTGCGTCAATACCGTGTTCGCCTCCCTGCTCATCATGTGTAATGCGCCTTGTAGTCAATCCAAAGTGTTCTCTCTTGTTGTATGTGGTAGCTGTTGTGTATTAACATTGCTGTCATGTAGCTCTGTACCTATAGTAAAGTACCTACACTAACCTGCATTACCCTCATTTATTGATCATGATACAATATTGCAGTCTGTATTGTACCATTGTTTATATTTCGTTATTTTTGAATTATTATGGTTATAAACGGTTTAATTACTCAAATTTGAGATATTGCTCTACGACAAGTACGAAAAAGTCCCGCGTGGCAACTTCTACGAAGTCCAGCATCCTACTCAAAGTCAGTGATCATAAGGTGCCGAGGACTGACTCGAAGACCTAATTTCCACTAGCAACTGCTATACATCTATCCTCTCGCCAATAGCCTAGATCGCGAACAATGTATTCGGTCCTATTGAGAAACAGCGTCGTATAATTCGAAGCTGTAGAGCCAAAAAAATCAATAAAAAATCGGCCGAAGAATTAATTTTCATTTAGTCTTTAAAAGTTTAGACTTCTTATTCGTCTTCTTGTTGCCAGATGTATTCTTTATGTTTGTGTTCATAAATATAATAGCTATCTCATTAGCTAAATGTGTATATTCGAGTGGTTTTCTTCCAAACCCAATAAGAGCTGAGATGAGAGGTTGTGAAATTTAAGGTTAAAAACCACTTGTTTCCCGACAGCTTGTGGTAGACTGGTTTTGTAAAACTTTCCACATTTTACAATTAAATATGTTTTCTTTCGATCATCGCACCACTGTGGCATATGATTGGTCATTATAAATGGGCAAAATGCGCAAGTCTTAGCAGTAATTTGAAGCTTAGAAGGTCTTATTCGAGTCAGTGTTAATTTCTTACAAACAGCGCATCGAACAAAGGTGTTCATTGTTCACACGTTCGCCTATGAATCCTTAATAAGATTGCATTAACTCTTACCTCAGCTTCTGGGTTGTCGTCAACATCAGTAAGCACGTAGAACAACTGAGGTTGAGGTTTACCTCGGCCAATGCAGCGGACAGATATCTGGAAGTAATGCTTCATGACGCGATTTTAGACAAAACACTAAAAAATAATAGAATGCCTCGAAAATTTGTTATGCTCTATTATTTGGTTGTCTTAACTTTACGGTCATTCCTTGCAGCATTTAACGCTCGTTTCTTTCTCCCGTGCTTTCTTTATCCGCTGATGTTAGCACTGCCGCGTCTATTAGCGCCGTTTCGTGATCCATAATTCGTTTTAGCAAAACGGCCAGATGAAGCATAAATCTGTCCACCCATCTTATAAGATGATTGTCTTGAAGAACGCTAGCATGATTTTTGAATCCACTCGTCTACTCGAGATCATTGTAGAAGACCTGGACTATAAAGTCCGGCTTCATGTTGTCTTAAGCCTTAAGCCTTAAGCCGACTTAAGTTTTTCTTTCTTGACTTGAATCACCTAGTTTTCGATGGTTTTTCTTCATTTATGTATGTTTCTGAGTTCTTTCCTTTGGTTCCCATTGGCACTTTCAAAAAAAAGATAATAATATCAATGATTTCTTATGTTACTAAGCTAACATGAGGCTGTTAAATTAGCGATATAACCGGCAAAACATAACAGCTTTGACAAGAACTTCTGACCACAGTAATATAGTGCTGCAAAAGCTGTGATGTTACAGTTTACTTCTGATAGCTTTCCTTTTTTCCTGATAGGTAAAAGTCGGAACTTTCGCCGATACTAAATAAGTACCATAAAGTAGAAATGCGTTGTCTCTGAGTGTTAAGATGTGATGTATAAATTTAATTCATCACCCGGCAACGTAATACATTGAATTTGTCTTCTTGGCTTGCTCCATGACTTGGTGAAAGTTTCAGTTCCAGAATTTCACTTTTTTCCCGTATGCCCTATAGTTGTATGGTTCAAAGTAGAGAAATTCCCTTCGATTAAGCTCTGAAAGTGAGGCAAGTCTATGAAAATTCACTCGAAGAGTACTACCAACTGTGATGCGGTTTCGCCTGAACAACGCTACGAAGACAATTCCGACAGTCAAGGATCTGCACGAAAACGACAGGATGACAATGTAGATAACACTAGTTAATGTAGAAGTGGTAAGAAAGTTTCCAGTACAAAGGTGATGTCCGTTTTTGTTTAGAGCTGTTCTAAGAAAGTTCGAACATTTTATCAGTGTTCATCGCATACCACGAAACTGTAAATGATGGCTCATGTCCTATCCAACTAATTATCGACATTTCAATGTTTTAGAATTGAAATAAGCCATTTCTTTGTTTAAAAGATGAGAATGGAACTGTTTGGCTTATTTCTTCTTCACTCCTCCCCATGTTCTCGCATTTCATCTTCAGTTCTAACTAAGTTCTTCACCATGGTGCCTTCAGAATCCAGTTGCATATAACTGTTGAGAGTTTCATATTCTGTTAAGCATAAACAAAGTAGTTAAATACAGAGAAAGATGAGGGATAACGAATTAGTTAGGTCCTATCAAGAAACAACGTGCTGGCTCGACTTCCTCTTAACCCTCCACCCCAATCCACGTAGAAATGCCTTAGCTCGGCTATTTCCTATATTGTAAGGCGAACCGACTCGATCAGTATTCTACAACATTCATGAGGAAGAAGAAATCTTCAAGTGGCAGCCGAAACAATACGGGAAGTGTTCCAAGACTATTGTGGACGATGAATGCGAGGAAAACAAATCGAATCCAAGAAGTGCTGGAGTCAGCACAATAAATTTGATAGTGGGTCATGTAAAATAAAAAGTGAAAGCAGAGATAAGATAGTTTTGTTTACATTCAACCATATAGCTGAAAACTATAAGATTTAAAAGTCTAGGCAAAATGATTGAGAACTGGTTTTAGGACTGAAACAGGCTCCCTTGGTACAAGATTTTAGCCGTATAATTCGCTAAATTAAAAATCGGCTCTCTAAAACCTTGGTTTTAGAGATATTATTTATTTATCCCACTATAAAATATCGTAAGGCTGCTTCAGATGTGTCTATACGAAGTGCGGTAAACGGAAATTCCAAGTCAGCATCCACCAATCTTTCATGCAAAGTGTTGAGCTCACCTTTTCTTCAGGTTCGACCAACAAACGCTCTCGTCCGGGTGGATCGATGTACTGTACCGAAACTGTCACCGGAATCGCTAGAATATCAGCATCAAAAGGATAGCGAAGAATTCCATTCGTTAGAATCAATAGGCGGGCAATAAATGGACACAGAATAAGTTTCTGGTTAGTTCATTATTTGTAAAATTCATGAATTTACGAAATAAAAAATGAGGGACCTGTGGAAGCAAAGCAAAAAGATTTCATTTTTGCAAGCAAAGCCCTGAAGCGTTGAACCAAGAACACACCCAAAAATGGGACCTAAGGCACAGCAAAAGTTCATTGATGGCGAAATCGATCCAATCTAGTCTTCTTTAGAGTCGATATAAAAAAAGAAATTTAAAATGTTAAAATAAATTTTAAATTTCTTTTTATAGGTACTATAATGCTGAGATATTTGCAAGGCTCCTGACCGCAGGTGTCTGCGGTGGGGAACGAACGCGCTATTGTCCTTTCTGGGGAGTAAAGCGTTTCACCACCACACCATGCGAGTTCTTCGTTTTGCCTGTCTCTCAGCTAGTTCTATCGATCTTTTGCCATCCTAGATGACCCGTATGGTGTGGTGGTGAACGCGTTACTCCTCGGAAGGGACAATAGCTCGTTCGTTCCCAACCGCAGACACCTGCGGTCCGGAATTTTGCAAATAGCTTTTTTATTTTTTTAATTTTATATGACCCGTCTTAACGTCTACTGTGTGGGTGGGTCCCAGCACTCCTTGCATTCGATTCCTTTCCTCACATACATCACCCACTAAGATCTTCCGACGTTACGTGTGGCTTCGGTTGCTGTTTGAGGATTTTAATTTCATCTTGAGTGTCGTCGAAGGCTGGCCGAGCAGTTCTCCCTGGAGTCCTGAGATAGCCGGGCTGGAGCGTTCCCAATTGGACTGCAGAAAGTGCTTTTTCTCGAACAAGTCCGGTACCAATTTCCCGACCCCGGGGGGACGAGAGACTTGGTTGGCCCGGAGCAAGATCGAACTAGCACCATGCTCGTGATGACCGACATCACTACCAGTGTGCTATCCGCTCCTTTAGTGAGTTGCGTGAAATAAGAATTACATTGTGATGGAACGGTGAACATGCGCTTTGTGAGGAAAACGCCGTATGAGTCAGCAAACTTCACTGCGTGCAGTAAGATATTTTCTTAAAATTGAAACACCTAGTTATTCTCGATCAGGTATGAGCCATACATGAACCGTACTCTCATGTTAGGTCGGTCATTCCGACTATAAGGTCAACTTACTATCTTTTTCGATGGCCACGATGTCAGAAATTACACCAGGTCCACTGTCAGCAGCTGCTTGAACTCTTACGTAGAATCCGTCCTCGTCATTCGAAAGTACTCTAAGTTCAAACGTTGTCCAGCACATAAGAGAAAGCCTTCTATGTGTATAAAGAAATTGGAATTGACATATTTTCGGTATCTCTACCAAAGATAAGTCTATTTCGAATTTTAAAAATGAATAAAACCAACATTTGATAAACGATAAAAAAGGACAAAGTTTTCGGCGTTGATCAATCCTTGAGGGATGGGCCATGCATTCAACTTCATTAAGTATCGTTGGAGGTGATTGAATACATATCTGGCCTTTAGAATGACTCGCGGTGGCCTACCGATGTATCGAGCCAGTGCTACTATCCTCCCAAACAAGTCTGATACCGATTTGTCGAACCCGGAAGGATGGAAGGCTTGGTGGGCCATGGGCGAAGAAATCGATTACACATGTGTGTCGCAGTGGCGCCTCCAACCACTGCACCACACGCGTCCCTATAAAGCTTACAACATCTGGGATTCCCAAGCCGTTTTCGATCCAAGTACTAACCAGGCCCAACGTTGCTTAACTTGCCAGATCGGACGGGATGGCGTGCTTTCAGCGTGGTATGGTCGTACGCAATATTTGATAGTGAGCATTAATATTAGAAAAAAATCAGCATCGTAGAACACTGGTGGATTCTCTTCAGGTATCGCACTACTTCCTACACTACTTATTCTGAGTTCTGTTTAACCCCTCTTATTTCGTGATGCGCCTCACTCAGTTTAAAGTCAAAAAATTAAAATTAAAAACTAAGTGGAGAAGAAGAACCTACTTCACACTGTTCTCAGTGCTGTCTAACACCACTTTTTGCCAATCTGACAACGGATCGTCCTTATGGAAACTATGATAGACCACATATTTCTAGAAAAAAGAGAAACATAAAAATTATGCAGATCTTTCCACAAAGAAAGAGAACACTTACTGTAACATTGCCATTTGGATGCAGAGGCGGCAACCAAGAAACCATGTAACCACCTCGTTCATTTTTTACAGTGACAGAAGACGGTGGACTACCGGGACCAAGAATGCGAACCATTACAGACTTGGAAACCTGACCTGCTGGATTTCTCGCCACGCACGTCAAATTGGCGTTCCTAGTCCTGCAGCAGTGATTTCAATACTGCAGAGTACTGACAGCGCTTAGGATTCATAGTCAGAACACCTGAATTTCATTCGAATTGAACGAGATGCCATCTGTTCCGTGATTGTCACGTTGGAAATGGTGTAGAACAAATGATCAGGTTCTAGCGGCTTGTCTAAAACTTACAAATGGGATGAGTATGAATTTCACAAGCAATTTTAATAGCAAATAGAACTAATCAGAATGATGGCCTTACTGCTATTCACAGAACGATCCTAAAAGTTGGAAAGCGTACAATTCCGTAAACTACGAGGTTATACGATAGAAGTTTTTTTCCGAATATTAAAAAATATTTGTTGTCTTTGATGAAGCAAATATGAAATTCTCCACTCGTCTTTTAGCAACAGTAGTCAGCGAAGTTAAACGGTAATGGAGCAATGATTGACCAATATCAGGAAAAAGTGAGGGGCTTAATTCCAGATTCCACAGCATTTACTAAACTTGAATTACCCGCGATTTGATAGTGATCTAGTGCAAGCAATACGTTTTTGGCTTACCGTCAACCAACCAATGAATACTAGCCAACGGTGTCGACACGGCATCGCATCGAACTTCCAGAGGCAATGAGACATCCGGATCAACTGCGATTCTTTCCGGGTCCAGTGTCACTTCAGGCAATTGTACTAAAAACGACTAGGCATAAACTCTTTAAATAAATGAGAATAATGAAATAAATTGCAACATCGTAATAGTTCTTCAGATAAATAAAATGTTGAGGGAAATTAATGCAAGACTGCAAAAATCTTTTTGCCCTGCCTCAAATGGTTTTTGGGTGCACTGCTGTCAGTAACACTACGAAACAATAAAGAAAGTCTTCTTCTAAGATCACAAAATATTGTGGGATTACAACTGAAGCTATGTGGCATACGATTACACCGTGTCTAATTGTATCTTCCCTGCCCGCGGTAGCTTGTCCGGCGAAACCCACAGATTTCCCAGCCGGAACTCCTCGATCAACGACAGCAAGTTGAATGAGCGTGTAGGTACCACTGACACGAAATACAGTCGAAGCTCTGTTATTTGCACAAGCTCTGTTAAGTTACTGCAGCATGAGAGCACAGTGGATTTCACACTAGTTGACGCAAGCGAACCGTGCCACTCGAGTGGCAACATACAAGTTGTTGCAGACGGTCTCAGAGACCAGAGAGTTACTAAAGGATCCAGCAACGATAGGCGATAGCTAGGTGCTCAACAACACTGCCGTATACGGTATGTTACTGCTTTAAAAAAAACTTTGTCAGCTAAGTCCATACCAAACACAAGAATCTACGGGTTCATTTATCTTACTCTGTTGTGTTGGAAAGAATAGCACAATAATGTTGAATTGAGAACTGTTCTCTGGAAACAAGTGCGTCATGAACGCCCACAAAAATCAACTCCGTTACTTGGTCGTTCTTGTAAAAATTTCAACGAATATTGGCTTAGGATTGTCTATGTATACATCGACAACATCGACAACTACTGGGAGCATGGCTTGGACAGTTCACCAGCAACTGGTGGTGTCCAAATGGAAAACCGTTCCAGATTCCACCCAGAAGTTACACCGTTTTTCATCAACTTTTGTGGAATTGGAGAAAGAAGAGCTTCTATGATAAGCGCTTCAAGAGCTTCGACGATCTCATGATGATACCTACCGACTTCATACTTATCGAGATTATCAACTCACAATCGCTGCACCTCTAAGTGGAAAGCATCTTATTACTGCCTAAATGTTGAGCTCGACTGTTTGATCAATACGATGCCTACGTTCAACAGTTCTATTGGAAAAAATTAAAAAGCAGGAAACAAGGACAAGATGTTACATTGATATCATTCCAGCGCAAACAGTAACGTTGTGAAAGGGTCCGTAAACCCTTATATAAAGCCATTTGCTAGTCTTTACAAGTACGACTATTGCACTATTTCCACAGAATTCAGTTTTTGACAGATTTCAGTATTCGGGAAGGCACAGGCCAGTGTTCCCAAGGATTCTGCTAGCTAGGAAGTGGTATGAATCTTAAAACTACTTCTTTCAAAAAGTTGCATGAGCATCCATAAGGGTGAATTAACGCAACTATAGAGTCCACAGAACTATTACACATGCTTATTTACCTCCAAGTGAGGCAAAAAGAGCGAACCACACAAAAAATATGATGCTTTTCATGACCCTTAAAAAAGGTAGTCCATTGAGCAGCTTCCGCTTCCCAGTGACTAGGTGATAAGGGATATTACAGCTTATTCAGATGACACCTTTGTGTAACCCTAATAAATCTGGATAAATAACAAATGACGAGGATTCAGGCGTTCCGCCTGATGATAAAACTACATGAGGCATGTTGGTGATTAAATTCAATCAGCTGTACTCACAGCTGCATGCTTTGAAGACCATAGTTCAACACTCGCATATGTCTCCACACTGGGTGCAAACCACCACCATGGGCGACGATAGCAATGCAAAGAAAAGGATGGAAAATGTTCCAGGATCCCCAGTTCTCGTGAAGACGTTTGGTCCAAGTATTCAACTAAGTGAGCTCTAGGGAGCATGATCCCATTACGGTCCCGACTGCATGAGAATGTCGTGACATATGTAATTATACTTCATTCTCAGGCCTCTGGCATTATTTTTAAGTTTATTGGACCTTTGACCTTATTTGTTGCGACGTCCTTTACAAAGTGTCCCTATGTTTTTGGTACGCTGCCCACATAAGACTAACATTTCGCTATCGCGGAAAAAGACTAAGTTGTCCAGGGCGTTGGAAGGCAGTTCTGCAAACACGATCGAACATCCGCTATTCTTCGACAACCTTGGATTTTTTGCGATAAACTAATTGATGACAGTCTCATCTGTGGTAAGAAAAACCGCCAGCGCTGCAAACCAACATTTCGAATCATTATAGAAGTCAAGAAAGAAGTCAGAGTCAACGCATCAACGCATTTTAGAACAGAACCAGAATGGGATAGAATTTCTCAATAAGTCTGACAAATACCAAAACTTCTCTAACTATCATAATTCCGCGACCATTTTCTCAAAGTATTTCGCTGTCTAGTACTTCCATCGTACCAGTATTGTTAGTGGTGAAAGTGACGATCCTCGACCATCGTCTGCTCATTACTTGGTCGTTGTCAAGAAGTCGCACTTCATAGGTCTTGTTCGGCATCAAAGACGACAGTATTACACTGTTTTCAGCGTTCGACTGAGTTCCAACACTCCTCCATTTGTTTTCGTCTTCGACACCTGCAGTGACTTCCCGATACTCGGCCACATAATTCTGCAATTATGCCATAATATTCCTTTCCTATATTTACTAATATACGACTACTAGAATTATCATCCCTATACTGCTTTCATTAACATCATTTTAAAGCATGAACTGAGTAGACACTGAAATACTTGACTTTGCAATCTACAGTTTTAAACGTACACCATCCAAAAAAAATCCGAAGCTGCAGCAAGATCTTTTATCAGACCAGTTCAAAAGAGCCATGTGGATAAACCAGAGGGGATAAATAGCCAACAAATAAGCCATTCAACACCGGAATGCACAAATTTTGTGCATTCACGAATCCATGCATTCCTAGATAACTTATCGTAATAAGCATTTAGCCCAAAATTCAAGTCAAGAAGCATTTTTTCAAACGAAAATAATGCCTTACGGTAACTTCACCGACATTCTCTCCAGGCACGAACTCAAAGATGGCGCTTCCATTCGCAAACACCCTGACCAGTTTGATCACTGGAGATTTCGATGCATGGAGTTCCAAAATTAGGATGGCATTAGTAGAATGCAATTTGCTAACCTTAGTCAGGAAGACATTAAGAAATGCTGATTCGAATCTATTCAAATGTTCATCGTGATTGAAAAAGCCTAAATTCGAAATCGAGATGCACAATTTCTTAGAACTGGCAAATCTTTGAAATTCTTCTCAGGGCGATGTCGGCATGTTTAAAATAAAATAATTCTTGTCGACTTTCATTTGGAGGAGTTACATGAGTAGAGTTTCACATGGTAGTTGCTTTACAAGAAGAGCAGATTGTTTAATCTCGACAAAACGAATCATCGAAGAATGAACTGGTGAAAGTGGTAGCTTTTTTTCGTTGAATAATCGAAATCTAATTAAGTCAATGTTTCCTAAAAGAGATGAAGATAGGAGACCAATAAGGTTGGTTTCACACTTTTCTTAAACTCCATGGGTTCACACATGTTAATTGTTTCATGAAAAATCTCTCATGTCACGTAAATTACCCCCAAACAAAACATTTGTGAATGAGCTCTGGAATTCATCAGGCTAAGGAAACAGATTTGAACTCAGCAGATTCTTCATGACCTTATGTCTATCCATAATTTTTAGACTCACCGGCTTCTTTGGTGTCCAAAAGAATGATTTTTGATGGTGAACTTTCCACCTGGTTCACAAGTACCGATGCTCGTATCTGATAGACAGTAGTAGGTTTGATATCGTAGTCATCGGCTGAACACCGTATTGAACAAAGGTTCCCAAAAACAACACACACCTTAGAACAATAATAAACAAAGTAATGATAAAATAATGAATATACCGAATTTATGTAAAAACATTTAACCCCAGACAGTTGAACATTAAAAGATCATCGTACCGTATCATTAGCAGACACTCACGTTGTCTCTATTTGTCCGTGTTACGTAGAAGATTTGCCCCTTGTGTCCTGTTCGCTTTAAGGATTTACTGAGCACGATAGGTACTTGCGATGATTGTCAGCTTCGTGGTATTCGGAATGCGCGTTTGATATCGTGTGGATCTAGCCGTTAATAGCTCCTGTCCACTGGCTCTCGTCAAGATGCATCGTTTATCCGACTAACCTCACCTTTGACGTTTTTGAAAGTTTGGTGGACCACATGTCTTTGAACATTGATTTAGACAAAGTGAAAACTTCGGATTCCCTCTTACACTTAAGTGATACGGGATAGTGCTAACACCCTCCTCTCGCCGATGTGTCCCAATAATGTTGGTGGACCCTCCATGCTGCTTATGTAGCGTGGAGACTGTTAAATGAATTTTGTGTTGGGACTGACACGAATCGTGATGAGTAGCTATTTAAGCATTAAAAAAGTAATAGCAATCCAAAGAGATCTTCCCTTTCGTTTTTACTGTTATAATAATCAAGAATTGGTGTTCAGAGCAAACTCACAGTCAAGTCGAACACAGTATTGTGGTTCCGATGTAAGCACTTCGACATGTTGCCATTGATGCAACTTCTCCCCATGAACGGTAGAATTTCTTGTGAAGTAAACCTTGAAACCCTAAAATACAAGGCGGAAGTGAACAAGTAAGGCAATGAGTGGTCAAAAAAGAGGACTAGAGACAAACTAGCCAGAAATTGTTGGAAAAAGGTAAGAAATAAAGGTGGAGAAAAAAAGGAGAAACGATGATTGGCAAACTCTAATAATGGCATACTACCATGACGTTGATTACATAGAAAAAGCGAAGGTATTAAACCCGTATATTTTGTACATTTATGTGGGTGTCGGAAGAGCACTGATTAAAGAGGACGCGCAGTAAATACATGCGTGATCGCTAGTTCAATCCCGCCCTGAGCCGACAGGGCCTCCCATTTACCCGAGGTCGGGAAATGAGTATCAAACTTGCCTCTGAATAATTCTCTATTATTCAGAAGACTGCCGATTGCCTGTAGTGAAGATCAGGAAACCATTAACACCACTTTACCAGGATTCCAAGGAGAATATATCAGCCTTCAAATTCATGAAGAAGGCAAAGCCCTCGCGTGCTAGCTAAACCTATACTCATTCGAGACAATAAACAAAATGAAAAAGTATTGGGATCCGTACAATACGTGAAATAGAAAATATAACGAAATTAGAAACTGGGAGGATATTAGAAGAAAATCAAAAAAGCCTTTCCACTTGTCGTTAAGAAGAGCAAAAGCAAGGCACCTAATAGACTTACTTAAAGCTCTTCGTGTCAAAGAGCCAGTGGAACTAATTCAGCAGTTCTGAAGAGCGATGGAAAATAGAAAGAAGAAAAAGGAAGGAGCTTAATGAAGCTGGTTTTTTGCAGGTTAGCTCCATGAGGTCATGAATATGTTTAAAGCGATGTTATTGAAACGAGAAGAATATCATGTTGAAGTCAATTGTTGAAGAGAACTTCTACTAAAGAGCAATGAAAATCAAGGTGTGGGTAACAAATAAACGAAGAAGATTTAACGGCCATATAAAATAAGGAATACTCACTGTGGTGCTGTTGGGTTCAGGAGAGTCTCCCTCAAATAAAAAACGAGTCACGAGAATATGAATGAAGAATGAGAAACTCGTCATTATAAGTCATCGGCCCTCATACTGGGAACTACTCGACCGCTTCATCACAATGAATGGTTTGTCCAAGATAAACTCATTTAAAACAAAACGCTATATAGAGATACAGATATGGATGTATGTTTATGCCATAATGAATGTGCATGTGTATAGATGGTGTATATATGTATGTCTGTGTGCCGATATATATGTGTGTGTTTGTTTGCTAATGTCTATATATTTGTGTTTATAATCGAAAGCTACCGAAATAAGCCTACCGTAATAGACGACGATGTGAACGCTGATAAGTTCGCTTTCACACACACTTGGATAGATAGCGAAGAATCAATGCTTGCATTAAGAGTGATAAGAGGAAAATCGGCCTCCACTGAAACCATTTTAAATATCTCTGGTGATTTTCTAATCTCCATAACTGTAAAGCTGAGGGAACAGTGTCAAATAAAAGTCTTGTCACATTCTTGTCCACTAGTTCTCTCTTCTTGGTTAGAATTTTTCGATGCCCTTCCTTCTTCTCTTTCTTTCTTTTGCTCTCTTCTTTTCATAGGGAAGGTTCTACCAAAAACAAAACATACATGGTTTTGGCCAATTCGAAACGAATACGATCCCACGTAATTCAGTTGACGCTTTAATATCAAACAGAGACATCAGGTTTATAAATGGTTCATACCGAATATTAGGCCAGATTATTCTGTCATGGTAGAAAGGTCGTATTACCAGACAGGAGCTCCGATTGCGGATATTTTAACAACTCAAAAGACCCACGACCGACTTTCTATTGATCTCAGCACTGATCAAATAATTCTTCGTATTCTTGTTGATCAAACGCGAGGTGTTATTTGACGTGAAATAACACCTCGCGTCTGCTCAAGTACAAGCCTCGGCATAGATAATATATTTATTTATATGATCTCATAAACTCATCCTGTTTAGCCAGTGCGAGGTCGATATAGGTCTTCGTTGTCGTTGTTGTTGTTGTTGTTGGTCGATGGTTGACGTTTCGGCGATTTCGCCTTCCTCAGAGTCTGGACGTATTTTATACAAGAATACTCTAATTGTTCGGAGGAAAACAAACCAAAATATTAACGGAGATTGAACTTTCAGATAGACCCCACATTGATCAAAAGAACTACTCCTCACCGTGCGGTTACGCGTGGGAACAGCACACGCGTTGTTCACATGGGGTCGCGAGTGACACCCACCCAGGGATCAAAAAATCATCTTGAACTAGGGCGCCAGGTCACGTGTGATAGTGAGGCACTCGTCTTTGCGGTTCATTGTTGGTTTTTTGAAATTTATCCAAAGCGCCTCAAGTGTCTAGCGCATTGATGCTTTAGATTCCTGCGCTAGGATCCGTACGGTCACTTTAAAATCATCGCCATTGTGCTTTTGTGCCCTATGCGTGATTAGAGGAGTGTTTTGACGAATTTTAACTTTTCCATCTAAATGTTCTTTTATCCTGACACAAAGTGGTCTACCCGTTTCCCCAACATATTCCGCGCCGCATGACTTACACGAGATCGAGTATTTTGTACTCGAACTCATATAATCCCCGTCTCTCCCGCTAGGACAGATCATACAGTTTTCTGAGGTGCACAAACGATCATAGAGACGGTTTCGAACTAACTGACGTAGTAGGGTATTGGGTCAGAGGTCAATGATCGTTGTATAATTTTCAGTGTTGGGTAAATGGGTTGGAATGAACTTCAGCAAGTGGTACCAATCATCAATTGTACAGGTAGGCCAACGAATGGAATAGCGTGGTTCCTAAACCTCGTCCTGACCCAACTGATAAAGTTCATACCAACCCATCTCCCTAATACCATAATATTCCTAAACCACCTACGGTGTGCTCAACTAAACAGCACGCACGTAATAGAGTTATCCGATGCTACTCCACTTTATGCCAACGTGTCGAATAACTCCGCAATGCAAGCCATTCTCGAGCTGCTCGTTGAGCATGAAAAGAAAATAAAAATGTATGGCTTGTCGATTGCTCAATTAATGACTCTCTTAAAACGGTGTCTTAGTTCTTCAACGTTTAAGTAGTCTGGAAAATATTTTGCACAAATTAGAGGGTTGGCCATGGGACAGCGTTTAGCACCAAGCCTTAGCGCCGTTTTCATGTCTAAGGTGGAAGCTCTATTTCTCGATCGCTGACTCTTACTCTACTGTCGATACATAAACACTGTTTCACCGGCCGCTCTACACAAAAACAGATGGATGAGTGCTCTGAATTGTTAAATAGACAGTCTGAGTATATAAAATTTACACGGAAAAACCAACCGAGAACTGACTTCCATTCTCAAACATCCAAATAAAGCTCTCAGTAAGTGGCTATGTAACAAAATGGTATCGTAAGCCAAGTAGTAAAAACATACTAGATCACTACATCTCCTCTCATCCTTCACATGTAAAAAAAGAAGTTATCAAAAACATATACCGTACGGCTAAAATGTGTGCACAGGAGGAGAGGAAAGGAAGAAGTCGCTAAACTTGGCGGGAAAAATAGCCAATTCCCATGATCATGTCGGTGAGGGATGTACCTGATGTAGCTCCAAAACCTGCCTAAAGAATCGCCTAGGGCTTGTGTGGTCGCAAGGCACTCCCTCCTGCTACTGATTTCAGGATTTTTCGAATTTTTCTAAAATGCTCCAGGAGTTTCGTGCACAGCAGCGTTAGATTCATGTACGAGGATAGCTACTTTTACATCAATATAACCATTATGTCCCACGCTATTCCCACCACTATTAATAAAAGGAGAACCGTCTCTGTGATCGTTTGCGCAGCTCAGCAAACTGTGCGATCTGTCCTAACGGGAGAGACGGGGATTTCACGAGTTCCGGTACAATATACTTGATGTCATATAACGCATGTGGTGAGGAATATATTCAGGAAACGGGTAGGCCACTTTGTGTCCGCATAAAAGAACATCTAGACGATAGAGTTAAAAATCCTCAAAGTACTCCTCTAGACATACACAGAGCACAAAAGCACAATGGCGATGATTTTGAAGCGACTGTGCGGATCCTAGCGCAGGAATCGAAAGCATCAATGTGCTAGACTCTTGAGGCGTTTTGGATAAATTTCAAAAATCCAGCGATGAACCGGAAAGAGAAATGCCTTACTGTCACACGTGACCTGGCGCCTTATTCCAAATAACTTTTTGACCCCTGGGTGGGTGTCACTCGCGACCCCACGTGAACAACGCCTAACAGCACGGTGAGGAGTAGTCCTTTTGATCAATGTGGGGTCTATTTGAAAATCTGATCTCCGTTAATACTTTGGTTTTTTTCCACCGAACAATTAGAGTATTCTTGTATAAAATACGTCCAGACTTTGAGGGAGGCGAAATCGCCGAAACGTCAACCATCGACTAACAGCAACAACAACGACAATGAAGACCTATATCAACCTCGCACTGGCTAAACAAGATGAGTTTGTAATATCATATAAACAAATATGTAGATATTTTAGTTTGCTTTTTTCTTTACCTAGCAGAGGTTGCAGATTAGTGCTCTAACATAATAGCTTTTATTCCTATAACTACTTAAGCAACTACTTAAGGCAAATAAGTTATGTCATCAGAAAATGCTGTAGACTTGGCCACAGCCGTTTAACGCCATGGAATCAGAAAAATCACAAAATGACTTATGAAGGCGTCACCTGTGTTACAGAAGCCAACATGTGATATGATGGTCACTAGCAGAAGTAGCATCAGCGTCGTGACCATTTCGACAAGATTCGTTGCGAATTGTCGTGACGAGAAAACGAATGATTCACGATCGGCACGACCTAGGACTATGGCTCGAGTCGGATTTCTTTCTAGAACGACTGGGCTAATCGATTGCGGAATGACTGCTGTTTGATTATTACAACAGAAAGATTTGCATAGAAGCGCTGACTGATTACGTTGATTTAGCAGTACTTACCTCAAACTTAAGGTTTCTTTCCTGGTACTGTGTGGAATTGATCTAGAAAAGAAGAGACACCGATTAGTCCGCCAGCGAAAGCTATGGAATGTCTGGCTGGCTGGCAGTTTGAAAGCGATGTGGGCGGCTGAACTGATCACCTGTCCTCCATATCACATGTTTCGCAGTCACAAAGAAAAAGAACACAACGCTTTTTGCAGACAAGTGCTCTTATACTTTATCACATGAAAATTCGCAAGGTATCCAAAAGCTCACTAAAATCACAGAACTTGAAATCCCAGCAAGTTGAAGCAGTTTTGAATAGTTGATAGTAGTGACCAGCTCTGTCTTTTTGTTCTACACGTACTAGACAGCTGTTGTATGTTTCACCTGGAAAAGCGAACGGATAGAGATGGGTCATCGAATTTCTCGATAGCCTTCTTCTGACCGTCAGACTTTCTCGAAAGGGTGAAAAACATTTCTCCCTCTCGAAGTGATAAAAATACAACCACGCACGTGCCAGACGATTTTCAAGTCAATGATCTTTAATAATCTGAGCACTTACGCTTGCAGAAAGCCTATTTTACAACATGAATATGAGACGAATAATATAGAATGGAGTTTTGCTCGCACTTTTGCTGAGCAAACGCGAGGTGTTATTATTCTTTGTTCACGATTAAGCTGACGTTTCGGCAAATTTCGCCTTCTTCAGAGCCGCTTTCTATGAGGTCTCCACTAAGTATGTCACGTAGAGACCAACCGCACAGAAATCACGTGGAAGTATAATGTGTCGAAATGGAAGAATGGAGTGAAGAATGATAGAATGGAGTGCTTAGCGTTCGTCAGTCCCTAAGAGATGCGCTATGCACTCGCCTTCATTAACCAGGGTTACTTTACAGAATGATTTGAGCCTCCCCACCGATGCATCAAGTAGGTGCTTTTACCTTCTCAGACAATTTTGATACCAATTCGACGATCTCGAAGCTATATAGGGATTGGTGAGCCAGAGGTTACACCCTTCAAAAACCCGAATTCTGTTTATAGCTGATGATCTAAATCGGTAGTCCACAATCGTTAATCTTCTTGATGTGGCGTCTTATCGAGTCGAATCTTGTTCAGTGTAGCAGCGCTCCAATGAGGCAAGCTCACCCGGTAGTGCGTTTTTATACAGGACGGTTGTTGACTGATAATAATTTCCTTTCACGTCGATAATCCATCCTGTATCAGTCGGTATTAGAATAGTTAGCACCGAGCGAAGTAATACTAATGTAGACTGACTTTAGCTTCCGCATATCGACGTATATATATATATATATATATGTATATATATATATGTATATATATATATATGATCATCGATTCTGAGGAGAACGAAAACGTTGGAACGTTAGCCGAATAAATGTTTGGTAACATCTTCGTGTTAGCTTAACAATGAGAGAAAGTACATAAGTCATCCATTATTGCTACTG